CTCTCTCTCCCCTCTCTATCCCGGCTCTCTCCCGGTTCTATCCTCTCTCTCCTCTCTCTCCCCTCTCTCTCCCCTCTCTATCCCGGTTCTGTTTCTCTCTCCCCTCCCCGTCCCCTCCCCGCCCGTTCCCGGTGTTGTTCTCACCTCCGGCCGTCAGGGGGCGCGGTGGCCGCGGGGCTGTGGCGGAAGCGGAAGCGGAAGCTGTCTGCGCTCCTCTTCCGGGCGGGCGGCGCGGCGGCGGCAGCGGGTGAGGCACCGGGAGCCGCCATCCGCGGCCATCGGGACCATCTCCGGCCATCCCCGGCCGGCGGAGCCTGCAGGCGGCAGCGGGAGGGAGCGGGAAGGGGCTCGGGTGGCCGGGGGCCCGCGCGGAGCTGCGGGACGGGGAGAGCTCGGGCTCCCGGGGGGGCTCGGCCTCCTCCAGGCTGTGCTTTCCTGATGCATTCTAGAATCAATACATTCCAACCCGCACAGGAGGTGCCCTGTGTGCACTTAAAAGTTGTGGAGCTGAGCAAAAACAGCCATTAATTTAATTTGTCCGTGGTTTAATTTGTCCTGTGCYGCCACGATAAATGGTGCCCTGACACGCAATCCCATAGCGCAGTTGTTAGAATTTAGGAAAGGCCGGAAGTATTTTGGATTTGATGCAGGGGAGTTACAAGTTAAGRGATRACYTGTTAAAATGATACAAGGTGCGGAGTTTTGCCCAGATCATTTTTGGATCAGATTTGCAGATGTGTAACCTGTGCTCTCTGGCGAGGAGCAGTGCGAGTTCCCTCTGCGAGCCCAGAATATACACTGAGTTTATTAAAGAGGGTGGTGCCATTAAAATCAGTTTTAATTGCTCTTTTTATGCCCTGTCAGACTCTGGTGGTGTGAATGATGAAGTGTAGTTTGTGTGTGTGTTGTGAGCATCTCTCAAACTCTTGGGGGTTTTTTGTGCAGCCAAAATGAAGTTCAACCCCTTTGTGACCTCGGACCGCAGCAAGAACCGCAAAAGGCATTTCAATGCCCCGTCCCACATCCGCAGGAAAATCATGTCCTCGCCCCTGTCCAAGGAGCTGCGGCAGAAGTACAACGTGCGCTCCATGCCCATCCGCAAGGACGACGAGGTCCAGGTACTGCCCTGCCCCAGGCTGTTCTGTCGCACCTGAATTTCTGTCTCTGTGGGGTTTTCAGCAGGAATTTCYCCATGGAAAGGGTGGTCAGGCYGTGGCAGGGGCTGCCCATCCCTGAAGGTGTACAGGAAAGGATTGGATGTGGCACTCAGTGCTCTGGGCAGGGGACAAGATGGTGATGGGTCATAGGCTGGGCTCCATGATCTTGGAARTCTTTTCCAATCCAAATAATTCTGRGATTCTGTTTTCACGTGYRGCCTGTGCAAAAGGGAAGGACGACACAAATTCACATTGGTGCTGGAGCTTTACCCYGAGTATAGCAGTCGGGGTATTCAGTCACGACTTGTGTTGTCAGGTATTTCTTAAATTCACTTCAGTGACAAGGAAAAYACCTTGTCAAGCAGCAAAATTGTGYTGGCAGTGTTACTGYWYTWMAGTTACATGCCTTGATAATTGKGYTGAATTAAAAGCTTTCAGCAYTAAAGCACAAAGCACAGAATTGATTGACTGTTTGCTGCCTGTGATATCTGAAAGATTGGATTGGATATTAGTCTAAATGATGTGGCTTTTTTATATAAAATGCAATGATAGGTGAAAAATTAAGATAAAACTTGTTGAAAATTGAAACCTGGCTGAAATGCTACAGAGCTACCTCGTCAAGAGTTTACTGTGGGGAAAATGAGGGAGAACCACAGTTCTGATCCATTATGTTTTTCATTTTAGTGATGCTGAAATCATCTTTTACTCATGTCCTTGTGGCTTATGTGTGCAAAGAGCAGAGTTGGGGAGCCYGTGCAGCTCAGGTGGATAATTCAGTCACGGTGTATCAGCTGTGGCTGTTCCAGGGGTGGTTCTGCAGCGTGGCTCACTGTGTTTGCTGTGCTCAGGTGGTCCGAGGACACTACAAAGGCCAGCAGATCGGGAAGGTGGTGCAGGTGTACAGGAAGAAATACGTGATCTACATCGAGCGCGTGCAGCGGGAGAARGCCAACGGCACCACCGTGCATGTGGGCATCCACCCCAGCAAGGTACGGGGGCACCTGGGGGAGAATGGGCACTCTGGGATGGGTGGAATGTGTTAGCAAGTGCTGGGRGTGCACAGATGGAGCAGCCCTGGGAGAAGAACCTGGGGATGCTGCTGGGTGAGAGCTGGACCTCCTGATGCCCAGYGTGGGCAGCAGCAAAGGGGGGATTCTGCCCCAGTGCCCTGCTCAGGTGAGACTCCACCTGCAGAGCTGCTCCAGCCCTGGAACCCAGCACAGGAGGGACCTGGAGCTGCTGGAGAGAGCCCAGAGAGGCACCAGGATGGGCAGAGGGAGGGAGCAGCTCTGCTGGGAGGAAAGGCTGGGAGAGCTGGGATTGTTCAGCCTGGAGAGGAGAAACTCTGGGGTGACCTCATTGTGGCCTTGCAGTTTGTGAAGGGAGCCCACAAAAAAGCTGGAGAGAGACTTTACGAGGGATGGAGTGGCTTTCCACTGCCAGGGGGCAGGGTTAGATTCAATATTAGGAAGAAATTCTTCCCTGTGAGGCCTTGGCACAGGATGCCTTGAGAAGCAACCAGGCACAGGATGTCTTGGAGCAACCAGGATGGTTGCTCCATCCCTGGAGGTGTTCCAGCCAGGTTGGACGGGGCTTGGAGCACCCTGGGACAGTTGAAGGTGTCCCTGCCTGTGGCATGGGCATTGGAATGAGATGAGCTTTAAGGTTTCTTCCATCCCAGACCCTTGTGTGGTTCTGTGAATAAGGAATTGAGATGGTGCCTCAAGTTGATTTTAGGGCGTCATGAGCATAGAAGTGAGTTGAAACCAAGAATTCCTCATTGTTTCTAGGACCAGAAAGTTGCTAGAAACTTTGGTATCTTGCTAAAATACTTTTTTTTTTTGAGGAGACTGGTGTTTTCAAAGCACAAAACAGATAATTTAGAACAATTATTCATCTTTGCTATATGGCACTTGCACTGGCTGAGGAGGTGTTAGAGAGGCTTTAATAAATGGTCAAAATTGTGATTTGCTCTTTCAGGCAGTTGTGAGCTGAGTACTTCTGGATCTGGGTTTAGCCTGAGGTGTTTAGAGTTGGTGAAAACCAGGCAAAGCCTGTTTAGATCATCACAGGAAACATTTCAAACTAAACACAAGRRCTTGCCAAARCCTGRTTTGGAGCAGATGAATTCAGTTTGCTTCAGCCTTGCCATGTGGGCACAAAGATGGAAGTGTTGGTGGAAAAAATCTGGTTGTAACAGGTTTTCTGGTGTAAATGGTTGGTGTGTTCAGTAGAGGGAGGGCAGAATTATTCCAAAACATCATGACTTGTGTGCAGCAACAACATCTGACTGACAAGGTGACATTGTGGAGCCTGTGCATGTACAGGCTGAATAGCAGTGGGAGAAATGGAATTTTCTGCTGGTTCTTTATTCCATGAAAATTTTCATTAATTGGGAACTAGACCTTGATAAAGCTTTGTATAAAAATTCTGGTTATTAATGCAAAAGGAGCAGAGGAAGGTTTTGTTACAGACCTGCYGTGGGCTGTGTGAACAGTTTGTACCTCTCCTGGGTAAAGAGGKGGGAATTCCAATTAAGAGGGACCTAAATGCACAAGGAATTGAGGAGAAGTGTGCCTAGATTGGATTTCTAGGATTTGATTGTTCTGTTTTTCAAGTAGTGCTTTCACTAATACCAACACATTAAATTTCTTTGCCATTYTGAGTAGGCATGAACAGGAATAGTTAAGGAGTTCTTCCCTGTGAGTGTGGGGAGGCAGAGGGTGCCCAGARAAGCTGTGRCTGCCCCATGATCCCTGGAAGTGYCCAAGGCCAGCTTTGCTGCCTTTGTGGTGGTGGGATCAGCTCGGTGCTGTGATTCCAGGTGGATTTAGTATCTATCAGGTCGAAGCAGAATAATGGAAATTAAATCTGCTTCCAGATATTTTATTCTATAGCTAAATAGAAATTCAGCTGCTCCTCAGTTTGTGCAAGTGTTTTGACTGTGCATTGAACCAGCTGTCCCTGTGTCCAGTCCCTCAGTATGCCTGGAAAAATTGTGGAATATGGAGACAATGCAGTACATCAGTTTCACTGGAACCAAACAAGAGAGTCCATGGCAATGATGATCATGTGCCAGGGCTCTGCAGTCCCATGGGGCTGTGGGGTTGCTGTCCTCCCTCTGAACAGGGTCCCTGAATTCCTTGTGCTCTCTCCAGGTGGTGATCACCAGGCTAAAGCTGGACAAGGACCGCAAGAAGATCTTGGAGCGTAAAGCCAAGTCCCGCCAGGTTGGCAAGGAGAAGGGCAAGTACAAGGAGGAGACGATCGAGAAGATGCAAGAATAGATGTTTCCTGTTTGTCACCATTAAAAAATGCTAAAAATCAACCTGTTGTGTCTSTTCTCCTTTAGAAAATACCGATATGACATGTCCTGCTCAGCATTTAAATATTCCTTCCTGTATTTTTGAGTAAAAATACTTCCACTAAATTAAAAAGCTTATTATATTATTGTTTTTACTTTAAAGAAAACTAAAAGTGTTTTTTCCCAGTAAAGAAATGTTTAAACCAATCTTAGAGCAGTGCAATCCTGAAACACCCATCTAACAGCCATCATACTCCTTTTTCTTCCTTAGATCTGTCCATAAAGCACAATTTAACATGTTAATTCTGTGCGGTATATATATATTTAATTCAGCTCTTATATTAATGGCAGAACTTGAGGACAGAGGGATTTAGGACCAGTGCTCATGAGACAGAGCTGGCTGGTTTGAGAAAGATGGGGTAAACCAGTCTCAATGCTCTTGCTGGTGCTATTTTGGATGAATTCTCTGTGAGAAGAGATCTTTTCTGGCACTTTATGCCTTCATAATTGAGAGCTGCTGCAGCAAGTTGAAAACAGCCCTGCAGTTAAGTGAATTTACTGGCTCAGTGAATGGCCCTTTGATTGCTGGTACAGACAGAAAGAAATTCGTCTGCTTGAACAACAATGGAATCTAAAAATAGTGATGCTGGGACTCGAGGAAAATTGCATTTTAGAAGCCATTCATAMGCTTGACATTGAAGCTGTGTTAGCTGGGCTGCCAGTGGGTTTCTCTTATGTAGGCTCGGAAGTTTTGTCCCTCCAGCTCGTGCTGCTTAATAGGAGATTTCTTCACCTTGAGTCGATGTTTCAGGAAATCCGTGGGGGTTCGTTCTTTACCGAGACGTTTCCAGCTGCGGGGCGGTTGCGGAGCTGCTCTGGGGGAGCGTGTCCCACATCCCCAAATCCCCGAGGAGCTCCGAGGCAGCCCTTACCGGGCAGCCTGTTCCTGCAGGGGATGGAAAGCCGGGCCCGGCCGGCGATCCCAGCGCATCCATCCGCGATCCCATCCGCGATCCCACCGCGCGCTCCCGCGTCCTCTCCGCGCTCGCTCCCGCGCAGCTCCGCGCGCTCCCGCCCCGCGCGCTCCCGCCGGCTCCCGTGACGTGGCGGGCGCTGATTGGCGGGGCCCGGGCGGGGCATGGCGCGGGGCCCCGCCCCTCGCGCCCCTCAGAGCGCGGCCATGGCGTACGGCGGCCTGGCGGTGCCCATCATCGTCATGAGCGTGTTCTGGGGGGTGGTCGGCGGCGTCCTGCCCTGGCTCGTACCCAAGGGGCCGAACCGCGGGTGAGTGACCGGGGGGCGGCGGGCACCGGGCACCTTCCCTTCCGTCCCCCGCGGGTGTGGGGGAGGCCCCGGCGGAGGCGGCCCCGGAGCCCTGAGGCGCCCCGAGGTGTGCCGGCCCCGCCGCCGAGGCCCCGCAGCGCCGGGTTCGGGGCCGCCGCAGCCCCGCCGGCTCCGGGCGCAGCGCTGGCGCAGCGCACACGGGCCCTGGCCCGGCGGAGCGGCCGCTCCTGGGGCTGCCAGAGCCGGGCGGTGCCCCCGCGCCTCCGGAACCTCTCAGGGGTTTGGGTTTCCCTTGAGGCCCTGGCGCAGGGTGCCCAGAGAAGCTGTGGCTGCCCTTGGATCCCTGGAAGTGTCCAAGGCCAGGCTGGACGGGGCTTGGAGCCACCTGGGATAATGGAAGGTGTCCCTGCTCATGGAAGGGTGTGGAACGAGATGCTCTTTAAGGTCTTTTCCAACCCAATCCGTTCTGCTAAACCTCTGTAGACAGAACGTGCTGTGTCAAGGTGGTGGTTCATTGTCAGGCGGTATTTGAGCAGCAACTTCCTCTTTCTTTCCTTACTTGACCTTTCCTAACTTACTCCACCATTCTGTGTTTTCACACTGGAAAGGTTGCTGTAGTGGATTTCATTTATGGGTTAAATGCATGCTGGTGCCCTTGTAGCTGAGGACAACAGCAGGCCTTCTAAGCAGAGGTTTTTCCTGCAGTGGTTGTGGCTGCTCAGATTAAAAATTAGACAAGTTTTTGTCTTTCTCTTTTCTCTAGGAGATAATGGCTTCTTAATCTCTCTTCCTCTCTCTGACACTCCCTCTACTCYACAGGTACCAACTCTCTCAGTTCTTTATCTAAACCCTCAATATTCCTCAGGCTTTGATATGTCCTGCCTTTCAAACCTAATGTGTGTTTTATGCCTGGAAACTCGACTATCYTCAGAAATACCTTGGAAATATGGAACACATGGAAGTGTGAGAATCCTATGGGTCACCAGCAGATATTTTGTTATTATTCCAAAATGTAGTTGTTTAACAAGTTTGAGTAGACCATTGCTGTTTTCTGCCTCTGCCTCTCATCTTTTTCTTGAGAAAAATACCCAGAAAATTTCCAAGTTCAGTTCCTGAACAGGCTCTTTCTTTTCCTAACAAAAGAARTTAGTGCAAGCTTTTAACTGACCTAAGAATTCACATTGCTTAGGTTAAAACTCCCAAACAATGACTATGGAACTTCCTGTAAGAGTTGCTGAAGCTTAATTCAGGCTGTGTTGGCTTGGTAGCATTCCTTTGGAAGTTGAYAAAGTGGATGTGTATTGATAAATAAAAAATATGGAGTGTTTTTTTTGCCACCAAGGGATAGGAAGTTACTGACCTACCATGAGGTTTTGTTACTCAGTTGGGGGAAGYAATACATAGATAAAATTTAAATTTTATAATTTAAAAAGAAAAAAMCACACTCCACTTTGCCACTGAGTTCCATGAGCTGCAGAGATCACWGTTAGAAAATYTCATTTCCTCTYCTAATTGAAACCCATCTGTGTGTGTTGCTGCAGTTTGGCCATTTTCAATTTCAAGGGCTTGGTTCTTCCTTCTTTTCAGCTTYCCTGTGGTTTCTGACACAGTTATGTTTCACCAAGGAAAGAAAATCTTATATTACAGCTCATTTCACGTGGCTTTGAGATTTTATTTTATGTTCAGTTTGTAACCCACTCATTCATTATATAAAATCAAAAGTGACAATTTGACACTGAAATTTTCTGTAAGTAGAATTCTGCAAATGGAGTAAGTGGGTTTTCTTTGTACATCCAACCTCAGTGGTTCACCAATGTGAAGGACACTGCATGAGATTTTGCTCCTCTCTGCAGTGATTTTGTTAAATACAGCTGTAAACTGTTGGGCAGAGCTGTGTCAGTCCTGCAGATCTGAGCCTCTGCAGTTTATTCAGCTGGAAGAAGCCAGAACATTCATGTTGAGTCATCTTTTCATATGATCAAAGTTAAACTTGTTCTTGTTTGCTGTGGGTTTTTTTTTCCTGTGTATCTTGTGGTCAGTCACAACATGACACCTGATCAGCTGTTTCTCCTTCCTCTTGGCAGTGTTATCAACACAATGCTGGTGACCTGCGCTGTTTGCTGCTACCTGTTGTAAGTACAAATAATGTCCTSCCTCTTAACCCACTCCTGTTGTAATCACAAGTTCCTTTTTTATAGCCTCAGAACAGTTAGAAGCTTTTTGAATGTGTCGTGGAGATTTAGGCACGTGGTATTCTTTGACAGCTCTTAGAATTCTGAGTTCTAAAGACCTTCAACGTGCTGAAGAAAATTTTCCCATTGGAAAATAATGAATTAAAAGGAAAAGAGTTATTCTTGTTGTCCTCTGAGACATASTCTGCATGTACTTGATATTCCTTCTCTCCATTTCACTGCCTCATTTGGTCACAAGTGTAATGATAGTCAATTCTAGAATCTTCCTGATTCACAGACTTTTTCTTTTTTTTTGCCTTTTTCCTTTCTATTTTACATTTAATTCTGAGGTGATACTAATTCAAACCCACTGAACAGTTTTGCTTTTAGGTTGCTTGAATATATTCTCAAAATCTGGTAGAGCGGTGGGTGGAAAAACTTCTGCATGGCGATTTTTTTAGTGATAGTTTGATATATTAAGAGCATTTCTCTTTAAATGCACAGTATATTTTGAGGCTGCCTCTTCTCTGTAGGAGATTTTGTAGCAATAACAAAGTGACTTGTTGAGAGCTCTTCATATCTTTCAAAACAGCTGTAGCTGGAGGCTGCATGAGAAAGCCTGCATGTGTTTTTTTTCTCTGTTTTTAAAGACCTTAGAGACTGATCTTGTTAAAAAATATAGTGYTGTGCAAAAATAACTTTGGAAGAATTTGTTATGGAGAGTAAAGTGTAGAAGTCTGATTCAATCTTAAGAGTTAAYTTGTAATAAAAATCATTATTTGGAGTTCCATTTGAACCTGAGTAATGTTTATACTTTCCTGARTTGTTATGTATTATTTATGAATATTTATGCATTATTTATGCTATTCAAAGGAATTTAATATGAATATTTAGAGAAATGTGGCTCAGTGTTGGCATGTTCCAGGAAAAGCTTGTTTGATTCTGGGTTGGGTTAGACTGTGGTACATGGTTTAGGTTAATAGTGTGATATTCAGGGTTTATGCAGGTGAGATATTTTAAAATTTTATTTATATTCAGAGTATTTGATATGTGAACTCCTAAGAAAAATCACTCTTGGTTAACTGTAAAAGTCCAGCAAACTTGATTCTGTTTTTTGTGTCCACGGAATTTTTTAATTTAAAGTTTTGCTGAGTGAATATAGAAATTTGAGAAGAGCTTTGCAGTGCAAGCAGCTTGAATYTGGGATTGAAATTTGGGAATCTCAGTGCTACGAAGGCCTCCTTGCCYTGCATATGAAGTGTGTAACAGCCCAGTCTCATAGTAAGTTCCAAATGCTTGGCTAAGAAAGGGCAAATTTCTTTGTAATTTTTACTGGGTTGCTGCATTTATGTTACAGTGAATTGGGTGTTTTTTAATTAGGGGGAGGGTTGAGCTTTGTATGGTTTTGTTTAAAGTTTTCACTTGGGTTTTTCTACAGAAATACTGTCCTATTCTAAAATCCTTGAAGCTTAGGGTTTGGTGTCTTTATTGTTTGAAGGACAGTTTTCCTAGAAGTAGAAGCCATGTGGCATCTGCAGCATCCTCTGGATTATGATGTGAAATTTATTTGTTGCAGAATTTCTTAACTTTTGGGTGAATTCTGTGAACTCTTCAAATGTACCGTGGTATTTCATTAGTAAATTTAGTGATTCTTTAATCTAAACAGACCCATTATAAATCCTACTTTCATTAACATATTTTATGATCTACTTTTGCATGTCCAGGGGTTCTTTGGTAATTTTGTGGGCTCTAGCTTGTTTTCTGAATTCCCTTTGGTTTTCTACAGTTAYTCATTGAAAAAAGAGAAGCAGCAAAATCTGATGTTTTCAATTGTCAGTGATTGCACCCAATCACATAAATTATGTTTGTAGCGTCTGTTTGGCAGAATGCAACAAAAAGCAGATTTTTCTTCTCATGTTTCAAGATAGAACTTGTCTCATCACAGTCTCTCTTTTTTATTTTTTTAATTTATTCTGTATAAAATTGTAGAACAGCCCTGTTTGGAAAGGACCTCAAAAGATCTGGTCCAACCTTTTTCTCCTCTTTTTTAGACAAACATATGGAAGTTTATTGTTCCTGTATCCTTTTCCCTTTTGGGGGAGGAGGCACTGAAACAATTTCAGACCTTAATTTTGGGTGATTAAAGAAAGAGACTTATTTTTCATGCYAGTCTTGARGGAAGCYGAGAGAATTGTTTCAGAGGGTTCTTTGTTGGATATTTTAGGATTAAARTAATTTCTGCTGTCCCAGCTATTTGTGTGTCCTTAGGCAGATGGCTGGTGCTGTTCTGTGCTCCTCTGTAGAACTGTTTAGTCTCTGCTAGACCTGCTTTTATACTCTATGAATTACCTTTCCAGTTGAAAATAGGGAGAAAAATTATTTCCTGTCTTCATTAAACACCACTTGATTCACAAATTGATTTTCATTAAACTGAATTTGAAGTCAGTCACATTTCAACTTTAAAGTGTTTCTTCTGTATTTAAATTGAATGGTGATAAATTTGAATAACCTTATTGATTACATGGTATTAATTTGGTTGTTCTATGGAAGATATTTGCATGAGAAAGTGCCTAATTTGTGTACAGATCCTGTACCCAGCAGCCTTTTGATGAATACACTGTTCCCAGGAACCTCATAAAATCTAAGGCAATGTCTAAGGAGTTACTGCTGCAGAAATTAGAGGTTCCACCATATTGTGAGATACGGTCAAAGTCTGAATCTATTTTGCTGTGTACAAASCAGTTTCTGAACAGTGCCATCATGTCCTGACAGAGGACAGGGTGCTTGGAAAATCGTATTATTYGCTGCTGATTCTAACAGGATTAAAATATGGACTCCCAAATTGACATTTAAACAGAGATAGCAGGACCTTAATTTGTAACACGAGCACAGACAGATGGCAGTTGTGGTGGGAAGACCTTTTAAAAAATCTCTCTGGTACAACAGAAGGGACTTTAATTTCCTTGTCTGAGTTGGGTAATTAACAGTAAGTGTTCTAAGTGGGATCTGGTAGAATGTAAGGACTTGTGGGTGGCTCGAATGCCATACCTGCTTTTAGCAACTCTGGAACATTGCATCTTGGATACAGGGGTTTGTTTTACACCGAATGCTGCATTTTGTTTGGTGTTGTCACGCTGGATTATTGTATAAAGCAGCATCACTTAAGCAAAACATGGGAAAAGCTTTTTCATKACTTACCTTGAATTCGAGGCAGTCGTAACCTAACAACTGCTTTAAATTGCTCAGCCCTCGCAGAGCAGGGAGGAGGAATGTGCTGCTGCCCTAATGCCACCCTGGCTCAGAGCTCGGGTATCCAGCATGGTTCCAACAAATGCCTTTTGAAAACTCCTCACTGCTTCTCCCGAAGCCTGGTTACATAGGTTGAGATTCTGAATGTGCTCCCAGCTCATTTAATTCAAGCCATGCTGGGCCTGAGCTCGGGAAGCAGCRAGAGGTGAGAGATTTGTGCGTGGAGTTCCTTCCTGCTCTGCAGTWACAAAAGGAATAATGTGCTTTAACAGGCTTTTGGTGTTCTATCCTCATCCCACTTGTGTTACTTCGGGATGCTGGAGGCAGATGGCACAGTGCTCTGGCACCTTTGGATCTGTCTGTTAGATCTGAAAATTAGCCCTCRCAAAAGAAATTCTGTGATAATTTTAAGAGCTAATTTGCTTTTCCCTTAAGTAGATTTAACACAATGATTAATGYGGTCTCAAAATACATTGTTGTCACTGCTTTGGATAGCAAAGTAGAAACGTGTCAACCTCAAGGTTGTTGGCTGCTCTCAGTGGTGTCTTGCTGATGTTTTAATTCCTTTGTAAAGCCTGCTATGTGTTCCAAGGCTTGTGTGACTGATGGACTGCTGCAGGCTCTGCTCCTTGTTTCAGCTGGAGTTCTACCCTGTGCAAAACTGAAAGGGGTATTGCAAAGAAATATTGGTAAATTTGAAGAGGATTGATGTGTTTTCTTTAAGTCTGACCCACATCTTTTGCCTGTGGCTGTTCCAGGCGTTTTGCAGCCGACCTGCACTTGGTTTGCTGGTCAGAGCATCAAGGTTTGTGTGGAATTTTCCATGACTGCCTAAGCACTCTGATACATTTGTGGCAGCTCCCATTACAAAGCTGCTCTGCTTTTTCTCCTCCTTACAAAGCATTCTAGAAATAGCAGACAGATGAGCCAGTGTGTTCGCTAAATGTGTTTATATAGTTAGTATTTAACATAGATTTAAATCCATGGAAGCATCCATTGCTTCTTCTGACTCTTGTAACATTTACAAAGAAAATATATCTTTCAACAGTGGAATATTTATTTCTGTTTAGCTTTCCTGGATATTTTCCACAAACTACATTCCTCTTGTTCTCAGTTCTGTCTWTGGCTTCTGCAGTGTTAGTTTGTGCTCTGCTCCAGTGACAAGGTTGCTGTGCTGATGATCTGGGGTTTGTTATCATATTGTTCTTGTGGGATCGTTTTTTGGTCTTTTTTTTTTTTATGTTCCTGTAGCATTTTACCCTTTTGCTTCAGGTCCCTGCTACTTGACCTCTGTGCCAGGTTTAAATTCACTTTTGTTCAATCTCTGAAAAATATACCATGTCTGCAAGGGCAAGTTGTCATGCACCCAAAAGCAAATGAGAGAGAGGATGTTTCTCAGAGGTTGTTGTTTAAAGGATGCATCAAAGGCACTGAAAAAAGGTCTGTCTCTTTTATGTTTCTGTCTTCTGAGCCCCCAAAYACCYGAGTTTCATGTATCTCAAAACACTTTCCTGTCAAAAGAGAAGTGTGAGGGAAATGCTGTCAGGGGATTTTGTGTTGCTTTCAATTGAYGAGGACAATCTACTTCAGTTGCAGAATGATTTGGTGCCATAACTTCATTGCAGGTGTCTGATCCTTGGGTATGAGCTTGAGTAGAATTCTCACTTGCACCTAAATTTTCCTGAAATAGTATTTTCTTCTGTGATAGTCCTTGTGCTTTGGACAGCCTTTCCATTGTCATAAGCTCTGTCATTTGGCTGATGTTGTCTCTGTTGGGTTGGGGGGTTGTCTTGCAGTTGGCTGATTGCAATTCTGGCTCAGCTCAACCCTCTCTTTGGGCCGCAGTTAAGCAATGAAACAATCTGGTATCTTAGATATCACTGGCCTTGAGGATGTCTGTCCTGTGCTRCAGTTCATTGACAAGGTGAGTATGATCAGATTTATTGATATTCTTGGTGTGTTAAAGCTGTGAGAGACATTGAWCAGTAGTGTGAGCCGTGTACTCAWACTACTGTAGGAGAAATCTGTCTGTAGGCTGCAACAAAGCATTCTGAATGTTAATCTTGATTGGATATGTGAAAAGCTTGAACTGAWTTATTGACAGTTATTTTTCTTTCAATCCTGTCGTGTAGTGTTGTGCTCAGGGGTTTGTAAGGAGAACAAAATACTCATTCAAAAAAAAATGTAATTGGACCAGGGTGCTTTTTAATAACTAACATAAGTGGATTTCCTAGTTTTTACCAATTGTTAAATTTCTCCCCAAGCYTGCTACCATTTCACCTAAGACCTATCCTCATTTCCAAGGCAACAKAGAGTTGCCCTCCTTTGTCTGGGAAGTTGGAGTGGGAACTGCCATTAGAATGATCTTTATCTCCTGTCAATACATTGCACTAGCCTTGAGCTCACAGCTTGATRGTTTATTATGTTTTTAATGACAGCCTGTGTGCAGCTTTAATCCCAGGTGAGTCTGGTGGTTGCTATCTGGGCAGTGCTGCTGGAATGTGGTTCTTGCAGTTCCTGAGCTTTTTGACAGGGCCAGCAAAAATAAAGTGTTGTACTAAAAGTACCTTGGTGCTGTTGGGTTTGTCCAGAGGRRCAGCATTTGGAAYTGAAGGTTCAAATGAAGGAAATGCRGAAAYAAGCACCCATGATTACAGCTTTTAAGCTGGTAACTGAATAATTAAACACAGTTTTTTGTCTTCGGACAACACAGTCTTAGTTCAGCACAGCAGACAGTGACAGTTGATGTTAYAGCTCTGTTAAATGCTCTCTGTCAAGTGTCCTGAACATTTGCACTGAAGCAAAGCTCTCCTGTTTCAGAGGAAGCTTCCTARGAACTGGGATGTTGTCAGACTGGGTCCTCTGCTTGTGTCTGCAGCTCCTTTTAARCACCAAGCAGAAGCTAAAGGTAGACTTGGCCCTGCTTCAACTGCAGGCCTGTAATTAGCTAAGTCAGTCAAGCAGAATTTCCTAGGAGCATTTTCACTGCTCGGGTGCTAACATATAATTAGTTAGCTAAAACAGAGAACAGTGTGTTTTGGTAATGGGCATGCAGATCCCTGAATCCCATAGGATGATTCAGTTGCCTGGGATCTGAAATTGAAATGGAGTTATCTGGACATAAAAATTGGGCTTCATGGTCTGCGTGTTGAAGTCAGCAAGGACAGCCAGGAGATGAGACACAACCTCTGGACTYCTGCTAACACAACCAGGCCTTTYCCCCTCCATTTCAGTGAAGGATTTTCCAGAGARCTGGAGTTAAATTTGTACCAAGGAGGAGAGGCAGTTGTGTGTTTGAAGATGTCTGAAGAGTTTGTGAGGAGCTATCATTTCTAAACTGATTAATGAATTATTTAAGCCCTGCATAGCACATGCTGTTAYGTTACATGAAGAAGTTTGTTTTAACCTTTCATCTGATTTCATTGGCTTAATTTTGGAATAAAAATAAGATTCTTGTCTCTTTAGGAGAATTAATTAAAAAAGTAAAAGCATGTAATAGTTCTCAAATATCTGTTCTTTGTTGCTAGAAATGTGCTATCCTAGGACAGCCTTCCAGTTTTTGAATGTTATTGCCAGGCTGAGGGAGGTGCTCCATGTCCTGTCCTTGTTTTTGTGGAGTTTCTGACTAGACAGGAGCTGTGAGTGAGATTCCATCTGATAACAGTCGGGATATCTCTCTGACACTGCATGGATTCCCGTCAGTGTAGCAACCAGTTATTTCTGGATTTTGAGATGTGCTTTTCCAGCATTCGAGGGACGTGTACTATACTTGTTTCTGCCTCCTGTTCCTTTCAGTTGAGGTTTGGATGGATTAGTATGGAAAATGCAAAGAGAATGAAGTGCTAACTCCCAAAGTGGAGAGATCCTTAAAAATAAGGATGATTTAAGCAAACCCATTTTAYTTTATCAACTGAGCAGGCTGAAAATGTTCCAGTGAGCTCCTGATGTTCTGCTGAGGAACTCTACTTATGCTGACTTGATTGATCTCTGCCAAATTACACAAGTTTGCTCTGTGTTTTCAGGCAGTCKCCCTCCMATCCCAGGGATTATTTTATAGCAAGCCATTTGATACATCATCAAGTTAATGGCTTGGATGGCAAGTGTGTAAGAGCACACAAAGCTCTGTAGCTGTGGTAAATCTGTGCTGTGGAMTCTTCTAAATTGTGTGATCCAACAGTGCCTTTCCTCCTTTACTTGGTCAGTTCACAGTCTGTGTTCTCAGAGCAAGAACTGTCTTTGTGCAAGTGCAAGAAGGGCTGTCATCCAGCTCGCTGGATGCTGATACAGCAGTGAAAAYATTTGAGGGAAATAGTTGTTCTACCAGCTTATAATGTAACTAAAACTACTYGCAGTAACTTCAGAAATGAAATTGCCAAGAAAACATCCACATGGATGAATTATCTACAGTTTTTGACCATTGCTCAGTGSATTTRTGGAATGGAAATAGTTGTGGTTAACAGCCAAGTCTTCAATTAGCAAWCTGTCTCCATGGAAAGGAATAATGAAGTTGCCTCTTGCTTTGCAGGTGCAGAAGAGATGAAAAACTTCACTGACCCAAAGGTGCCCTTTCYGTAGCTGGTTGGATACAAAGCCTGCAGTAATGCCTTAACCTTTCTAATGTTCTTCAAGTGGCTTGTTCAGAGTCCTGTATTTTCAACTACTATACCATTTAACAGTGTGCCTAATGCAATTTATACTCCTCTTTGGTACTGTCAATTTTTGACTGTTAACTCCAGATGTGATGAAAATTTCTATTTATACGGGTCTTAAAATCATACTTCCTGTTGATTTTATCCGTAATAACACTTTGTATTTGCAGGTCTTAGGTTGTCTGTCATTGTGCTGTTCACCCCTGTTCTGTTTGCACTGGACAAAAATGTGTGCAATAAAACTGTGAGGAGAGGAGAAACAGTGCTGCCACATACTAATGGCAATTTTTTGTTTGTTTTCAAATGAGTTGTATTCTTGAGAAATCTGGCCTTACATTTTTCATTCCTGGAAATAAAACTAATCATCTGCTTGATACAAAACGTTCTTATTTCCATATTTAACTGTTATTTTTCTGTGGGTTTAATCTGATGCTTGGAGTCGAGCTGAGGAAATTTAGGTGATGTGGATAAATTGTAATGAAGTTCAGTTGTAGGAATAGATGGGCAGCTTGTTGCCTGTATCAAGACCTCTCTTAGGTAYGTCTGTAATAGGATTAAATTTACAGTCTAAAATTGCTTAAAGGTGCAGGAATAATGAATGCTTGGCTTGAGATCCTTTTCTCTAGGAATTTCCCATTGTCTGAGGGGACTCAGAGTAGCCAAGGGCTCTTTTGGATGAAACATTCGTAGTAATTTTGAACAGGAGGCTGATTTAATCCCTGGCACATTTGAAGGATATTTATGGGAACAAGTGGCTTGAATTGAACAGCAAACATTACATTTGTTTTGTACTAATTTGACACTTGCATGTGGAATTGCAGACCTGGGAAAACACATGGCAKTGTAGGCAAGAGGTTCCTGAGGCTYCTGGATCTGGTCGATTGTTTCRTAAGRAGCAGCTTCAAAGGATATAAATGCTGCTGCATGCACAGGAGMCTTCCTRAATGCTTCCTTACCTCSTGTCCAGATAAATTACAATTATTCCTTTTATTGTTGTGCACAAGGACATAATGGAATGGTTAAAATTTTCTTTTCCCTCTTGGATAGCACCAATAACTTGTTCAGTGGGACAGCACTCATTACTGCACAGGAAATTCCAAGATCCTGAGATGTAACTTGCACAGATCCAAAACTGGACAACRTGAATTGCAAAAGAAGGAAGAATGTGCCCATTATTACAAATATGCATAGCAGCTGTTGGGACTGGACTAATGGKTTTTTTGGTCATGTTACCTTCTAARAGCTGTATTTTATCATGCGAGATGTTGTATACCACCATGTTACAGTGCCAAATAATTCCTAGGAAAATTGAAACCAAGTGATCATATAAAAACATAAGATTGTTGYMTGACTTTTRAAGTGTGTGGAGAAWAAGATATGTTGACATYGTAWGAGGAGGGGGAGAGAAATASTTCAAGACATTGTTTACGGATTTGAGATTTTAAAATAAATTGATCTGCTTGTCTTATTTACCCTGAAGTGAAATAAGCCAAAAAAATCCACCAAGTGAGGAACAGTGCTGTTAGTTTATTGTATTACCACTGTCTTTAACAAGCTTTTTATTTTAGGTTCTAAGCTATCACTTACTGTAGAAGAGAGAAGTAAAACAGAGTTCCTATGGGGTGTCCCATTGGTGGTGAATTTAATGGAAAGAGCTATTCCAAACCTGGACAAAGAATGCATAGAGCCATTTTCACCTAGATGCTCCCTGGAAAGAAAATCCCCTTTTTCACAGTGGTTAATATTTCCTCTGTAGCAGATKCCAGGTGGTGGCATGACTGAGGAAGACGAAAGAAAAACGTTTTGTGTCTGTTCTGCTGGGTGTTGTGTGACCTTCTCTCTGCACGGTGGTTGTGGAATGGTCTGCACCATGTGTGCCAGGAATTAACATTGCTTGGGGTGATTTCTTTTTTTTTTTTTTGCATGACTGCAGGAAAGGAGAACAGAGGGATTCAGCCAGTGCTGTTTAACAAACAATGCAGGGACCAGAGCCTTTATCACGCCTTGCTCTTTATTTTCCGACAGCAGAAGAGAACGTGGAATGTTCAAGTATAAAAGAAAGAAGTTTGTGCTTGGAATGGAAAAYGTGTGAAAGATTTGGGTGAAAAGTGAGAAAGGTGAAGGAAACTGGCTCTGCAGTCAAGTMGTGAAGAATTTAAAATCATAAACTCTAGCAATGTGTTAGAGCAAAACTTTAGGTGTGGGTTATGTCAAATGCTTGTGACTGCTTATGTTCATGTTTAGGAAATTCCAATATATGCATTTCTGCCCCTCACAAGAAATTGTTCTGGAGACTTYATAGAAGTTTATTTTTCCTCTAGTGGAAATCATGGAAGCATTTTACTCCTGGGCAGGGCTGAGTTAYCAGAGGTGGGTGGCTGCTCCCTTGTTTCCAGAATTAAATGCCGTGGAGTCTCTGGGGCAAACAAAGAAGAGATGGGGTGGAATGCAAAATCTCCTTTAAAGAATAGAAGACTTATGCCTTACAAATAACAAGATAAGAATGGCAGGGTCTATTTTTTTATTACATTTGTTAGTAATAATTTCTCCAGTTGTATCTGAAACAGTCCAGGCCAGCCACCTGTCACTGTGAAAGGTGGCTGTGCATGGAGCAGAAGACAGTAGGAAAAATACAGAGCTGCAAGTGGAAGATGGATGGCTGAAGAGGGTAGGTACGTGACCAGGGCCGCAGAGGAGTGGGAGCGGGGTGTGGGGAAGGAGCCTGGCACCGGCACCGGCACCGGCACTGCCGCAGCAGCCGCCGCCCCGACGCGCTCTGCCCGCGGGCACCCGCCTCCCCGCCTTAAATACCCCCCGCGCGCCGCTCCGCCGTCACGTGACGGGGGCGGCACCCGCCCATTGGCTGGCGCGGCCCCCTTCCCCCCGCCCCTCGCGCGTGCCCGCCCCCTCGGGCCACGTGAGGGTCGAGTCACGCGATTTCCGGGAACCCGTCAGGAAGGGACATAAACAAACAAACCCGGGGCCGCATGGAGGGGCCGGGCCGGGCTGCGCGGGGCGGCGGCCCCCGCTGAGCGCGGTGAGTCGGGGGCTCGGGGGGCCGGGGGGGTGCGGGGCAGCGGCGGGGCCGGGGGTCGGGGGGCCCGGGTGGTCCGGCGGGAGGAGGCGGTGTCGCCGGGCAGGGGGCTGCAAGGAGGGAGGCAGAGCGGGACGGAGGTGTCTGYCCGGCCGCCGAGGGCTGCGGGACGGGGATGGTGGCAGCGGCCCCTGCGCYCAGCTCGCCCGCTGGGGGGGTGTGGCTGCCGGGGCCGCGGGAGAACAGCGGTGCGCGGGGGGTGTCCGGTCCCGGAGCGGAGCTTTGGGACCCGGTGCCAGGGTGGGTGCGGTGAGATGGGGCTGCAGGGACGGAGCGCCGCCTGAGCGGAGAGTTGCCGGCGTTGTCCCCTCCAGCCTCCGCCCGGCAGGARCGGCCCGTGCCTTTACAAGGAAAGCGAATCTCGCGGCGAGCGCCAGGGAGAGGAAAGCGCCGTCCTGCCGGGGGAGCCCGGCCGCGCTGGGTGTGCGGGCGGAGAGGCTGCYCCTCTTCCCGAGGAGGCAGAGACGGGCTCGGGCGGAGAGGCTGCCCGAGAAGCCAGAGAGGGGCTCGGCAGGTCCTGCACTCCTCTACCTTTCGGGCTCGTAGTCGCCTCCTCCGTTTGCGACCTGTTTGAATGCCCGGGACGGCCGGGGGTGACCCGTGGGCGTGCGGGGTCTCTGTGCCCGGCGTGTCGGTGCTTGGGGGGCGGCTCCGCTCCAAAGGCTGCGGGGCAGAGGTGGTGGAGAGGGGTYACCGGTCTGCGAGTGTGGGGCAGGGCGGGACGGGACCGTCCCCACTCCGGCGCGGCGTTTATGTAATGCCAGGGCGGCGGGACGGTGGTTCGCTGTGAGGCGCGGCCCCGGAAAGGGGCTTCTGTCAGGCAGCGCGGGTGCGCTCAGGCTGCTCGCAGCCCTGGCGGGGGTCGCCGTTCGGGGGCCGCCCCCCGCGGGACACGGGCCCTGGGGCGGTCTGTCGGCAGCGGCGGGGCCGGGGGCGGCCGGGCGGGTGTCCGGAGCGGCGGGAGCGGCGCGGGGGTCGCGGGGCCGCGGCCGGGGCGGCGGGAGGGGGTTTGTTTACATGTCGCCTCACCCTAGCTTGAAAGGGCCGCTGGGCGGGTGAGCGGCGGGCGCGGCGGCCAATGGGAGAGCGCGCGGCGGTGGAGGCAGCCAATGAGCGGGCGCGGAGGGCGGGGCGGCGGCGTTCGGGGTAGGCTGCGCTGGGTGCTGGGCGGCGGGGCGGCCATGTTGGCCGGAGGTGTGTTAGTGGGTCAGGGCCGGGCCGGGGGACGCGCGGGGGACACGGSCACCGAGCGGGGCTGTGGCTGCGGGGGCCACCCGCGGCCCCGTCCCTCCGCAGCGCTTTGCCTCACGGAGGCTGTCCCAGCTGAGGTCGGGACCGGCCCGGGGCGGTGCCCGCGCACGGGGGGTCCCCTTGCCCGCGCTGAGGGGAGGACGGAGCGCGTTCCCGTCTCCTGCTCCCAGCCCAAATCTCCGCAGATTTGGGTTCTAAAACATCCCGGGCCGCCTCAGGAGCCGCATGCGGGTCTCAGCGTGTCCCCACACAGTGTCGAACGCCTCTCGGGGTCCGGTCGAAGCTCACTAAGGCTCCGAGCCGGGAGCACCTTGCCAAAAGCCCCTCATGTCACCGAGAACTCAAATCTAATCATTATTATTCCCCTTTGTCCCGAGGGTCCCCGCCGTGGGCGTTWTTCCCTGCCCGCGGCATCGCTGCCGTGCCCTCCCCTCGTCCCTGCCAGCCCCGCAGCCCACGGCATTTCTCAGGGCATCGGCTGCTGGAAGTGATCCGCTATCAAAGGCAATTTCGCTGTCACACTCGGTATAGGACACACGGTGTTTATTCAGGCTTCCCCATGCAACAGGCTGAGCGGCTCGGAGCGCTCAGCTCTGCCAGCTGAAATGTGCGATTCTCGCTTAAAGTGATCGTGATCGTTCTGTTGCTGTCACTCGAGGGGTAACTTGTTGAAATCATGCTCTGCATAACATGGAAAACAGAATCACATTCTCGTATTGTCTTTCAAACACTTCYARATGTTTTAAAGATTGTGTTTAAAAGGCCTCTGAGGTCGCTTAASCAAGGGCTTCCGAAYATCCTTGTGGGGAAGGTTAATTATGATTATTATTAGACATGTTTTCACAATAATAATTATAGAGAGGTAGACACAGGTGCTTTAGAAATGTGYTCGATTTTTATTGTTGGCAGCTTAAATGAGAAGTCAGAATTTCTATGGAAAATAAATCATAGAATCACAGAATGGTTTGGGTTGGAAGGGACCTTAAAGATTATTTMGTTTCAACCC